CTCAAGTCCTCTTCTGAACTTAATACTTCCCCTTTTCTGTCAAAATCTCTTCTCATAAAGCACCGATATGTAGGATCTGAAGATATCAGACTGTGGTGACTCCAAATGACAGGCACAACCTAAAAAACACAAGGTACCTTAGGACAGCTTCTTCGTACTACTACTATTCAAAATGCTAATACTTTCTGTAGGTCTGCACCAGGACATCTGTTTAGCTCTGGTATTGGAGAGAGGATGAATTTAAAAATGTAATCGTATAAAACCATAGGACAAAAAAAGCCCCTTATTTTGTGATTTGTGTTATTGGGCTGTATGAATAATATTGACTTGACTTTTAAAGGAAAAGGGAAAAGGGTTTGACAAATTGCACATAACAAACTGAATAATATAAAGTGCATATGATCTAATATAAAGTTCATGTTAGTTAACAGCAGGCAGGCTATTAAATGTATTTATAGTTGTGGCCACCAGAGGTCAGTGTCGTCATTACTTCTGCCAGGTGTGATCAAAAACTACAAATGAAGTGATGAAGTGATCATAAATGCAAATACTTTTACTTTTTTATGATTTCTGGATCTTTTCACCTTGTTCTCTTTACTTTTAACCCAACCATGCCATATCACCACCATCTTTAGTTTAGTTTGGTTAATTTATTTTGCATAATTCAAACAATAAAATAAAAATAAACAAACATAACAGAGATAAATTTGAATATCACAGTGCAGGAAGAAGCAAAAAGCCAACTGGACTTATTTGAAGCCTACTACCTATATAATATTAAAAGGTTACAATATTGCAGAGAACATAAAGTGAATATGCATAAGATGTGACTACGTAAAATATTATTGAAAAGATGTTTTCCAAGATATGAAATATGATAATAAACCTTATTACAGATGTGAACTTATGATTTTATGTTGAAAATATTCCTATTTTGTTTGTTTGTTTTTGCCTTCTTGAGTGAGGAGTTGTTTGTTAGCCAACATCAGTTTTTACATAAACACAATTAAAGTGATTTTGATTGCATGTAGAGTTTTGAAGACAATTTGGGGAAATGTATTTGCTTCATTTTGCTTTTTTTTTAGGATTTGCATTGCTTTTGTGAATTAAAAAAAATGAAGCTTTTCTTTCAAACAAAGGAGAAACACGGTAAAGTAAAATGAATGTAGCGGGATCAGGATGATTGATTTAAAGTCAATACAGGGTTACTGTAACAGCAGGCAGACTAATGCATGTGTTTATAGCTTTTGCCATAACTGCCACAACCACGATACTCCCGGCATCTTCGACAGCAGTCGAGTTGCATCGTGGGTAATGTAGGCTCCAGGTTTTGACAAAGAAGAGGGAGAGTTCGACATTGTTATAGAAGTGCAATGCTGAATGGTTTATTTCAAGGGTTACAGTTCTAGTCAGTCAAGAGTGAATCCATATCACAACACCATCAGCTGTCTCTACCCCAAAAAGCACAGCTAGTTCATTTCCCTCTCGTCAAAAACATCAAAAGAGATTTTTTTTTCCCTTTTGTTTTATTTGTTTTTACCTAAGAATTAACCATTTGTGTAATTCTGTTTACCTGTCTGTAGAGGATGCTGCAGTATCACAAACGAATACAAGATGTTCAGAACTGTAGCAGGGGATTTTTACATATGTGCAGCAAAAAACCACCCCAAAAAAAAGTATATTTATTTAAGACGTGTTATATGCTCAACTTTCATCAAGTAACAGATGTTTGGCGGGTAAACAGCATCACTATTTCTGTAATTTAAGAACTCTCCTCAGTTTGCTTTGTTTGAAAGTGGGGAAGTTTGACAAAATGTGCTGTTTTCATATTTACACAGAATGGCTTTTTCTTGTGCGATTACAGCTGCAATCAAATTGCTTGTATGTGCAGACATACGTAGCCAATGAAGCTGAATCTGATTCTACAGACAGTGCAAGCAATGGACAGTATCAAGTTATCATCAATTGCATTTAGGACTGTCGGACTTTGTGTTCACTTCTTGGCCAATTGTCCCGCTAAGCAGCATCACAATGTGTGTGTCATTGCTCATGTCACGCGTCCCGCCCCATGAATGAAAAGTATTTTCACTGGTACGGTTTAGGAGGTAGGTGAAAGCAATCAGGGCCAAACATGGTTGAGGTGGTGGTGCATTATTTGACAATAAATACCACGCATATGTTGACAAAACAATCTGAAGTCACGGTCTACTTACTCTGGGGTTGAGATTGTTTTGTCAACTGCTGTTTCCAAGGTCAGGAAGTTACTGTGAAGCGCAACATGTACACAAACCACAGGGATCAATGCATTACAAACCGTATCAATTTTATTCAAACTGTACACATACAACAGGCTTATCTCATAAAAAAAAAAAAAAAAAAAAAAAGTGAAAAAGACAAAAGAAATGAGTATCCCCATAAATACAATATGCCTTTAAAAACAGAGTGTGTTTTCTTGGTAGGTTGCATATGTTCCAATAAAAAAAATTTTTTTTTAAAAATCACACACTCATAATCCTTCTGAAAACGTAGTACAAGACAAACAGCCATCTGGTGGCATTGACAGTGGCAGATCTCTGCTGCTTGAAGTCAATTACACAATAGTTTTGCACCGTTTACTTAAAACATGGACGAGAGACGACTCGTGTAGCAGAGTGTTTCCTAACTTAGTCCTACCGACTGACTTTAACCAGGGTCGAGGTATGTAGTGCATTCACATGGGAAACGTGACAGTTCTTGTATACAAACTGCTCTAACAGTATACGATTGGTACTTAGGGTATATATCTAGCGTTAGTATGCGTGGATTCAGGACAGAACTTAAAGAGATTAAACATAACGGAAACAGTCTACAAGGCCATTATGTTGTGAGTTTACCCTCATCGCTGCAGGATGTTTGAATTCATCATTTACAGGTGACGCATGCAGAACATGTGCTGTACAGCGAGAAACAAGACCGTCTGGCAAACATGTGCTGCTATCAATCAGGATAGAAACATTTCTGCTCAGGTTTCCCCACAAGATTGAGATTATTTAGTCCGAGAAATAAACCGCTTTGTTGAATCAATGCAAAACAGCCAGTGTGCTGCATACAACAGAGGATCGATGGGACTCAATCACTGGTTACTTTTTTACGATGATGCTATTATTATTATTATTATTATTATTATTATTATTATTATTATTATAGGTCCTCAATTTCATTAACAGTTTTGTCGTAATAAATGTCTCCAGTGGTTGGGTTCCAGATAACACGGCACAGTCTCTCTCTCTCTCTCTCTCTCTCTCTCTGTATCAAAATATAAAAAATATTCCCACAAGGTTGTGAACGCTGAGCTCCTTCCTGGTGTTTCCACGATTTAGAAGATCAAACATGAGTCCTCAGAGAAGATACAAAAAAAAAAAAAAATGCAGTTTCTCCATGTTTGAAGGCTTCTGTAACGTAGCCCAGACTCTAAAAAAAAAATAGATGCTCAGTCTGCGTGTGAACCATGTAACACTTCAAGTGAAATCATAAAAAAGGGGGATGGGGGCAGATACACTGGGAGGAATACAGGCGTGAATGTGTACAGTCATCTTTATCCAGGATAAAATAACATGAGCAACCATTTCCACTCAGCGTGGATCAAGTCTGTATCCTTGAAATGGTGCTTTGGATGTCTTAAAAGCTTAAAAAGTATTTTTTGATGGAGGGATCCAACAGTGGAGAGACCACACACACAGAGACAAACAATGAGCTGTTGTGACTTCCTGTGTGTGTGTGTGTGTGTGGTCTCTTTAACTGTTTGAATCAGTCATTTTTAACACTTTTAACCTTTAGGATAGCTGTGCAAACCAATACATAACTTCATTCACCTTCGGAGTGAACATTCAATACAAGAGCAAATACTCAACAGTCAGAAAATTAAAAAATAAAAATAAAGTAACATTGAAATAAAAGTTTTGATTCATGGGCGTGGAGTCACGGGTCGATGGATTATTTGCCAGATTAAAAACAGGCGAGATTGTACTCTGCAATTTCTCACACACGCACATATTAAAGCATTTCAGTCTTAAACTAAAAGCAGAGTGACTTTAAATGTGTAATCCAGGCATCCCTAAATAATGGATTCACAGTCAGCGGGTGACCTTTGACCTTTTTCACTGCAGCATGGACAGAAGGCCACACTTCTCCACACATCAGTCCTTTCTGATATGGTGACAAACTCTCACCAGAGGTGACAGGAAGTACATTAAAATTGCGATACTGAGGATATAATCAATAACAATAATAATAATAATAATAATAATAATAATAATAATCGGGAGTTTCATATCAAAAGTGACCTCACCAGTCTGGCAAATACAGTCCAAGGACCAGTATGGCCATTTACACCAGTTCATATTCCAAAGATGCAAAAGCCAGGAGGAGTGTGGGCTGTCTGGTGATGACAAAACTCACCCAAAAATAAATCATCCAACTTGTATCGAATATAGATCAAAGTTTGGTTGTGAAACATGAAAAAAAACAAAAACATATAAGTCCAAAATAGTATTAAAAATGAAAGCTATTTGACCTCATTTACATGGTTATTAAATCCAAAAACATCGTGGCTTTGTGCCTTTTCCTCCTCCACACCTCACACCGTCGTCTCTCCGTGGTTGCCGTTGCTGAGGCGCTTGTAGAACCTCCGCCATGATTGAAGAGTCTTGCCGGACCAGACCCAGAAGCCCGACGTGATCCCGACTATCATGGTCATCAGGTATTTGATCATGAACACGGTGAAGTCCGGGGTCATGGGGGCGAAGTTGTGGACCGGGCAGGGCACGGCGAACCGCTTACAGGTCTGCATGTGCCAGGTCCGCTGCCAGTGCTCCCTGAAGGCCTGCTCGTAGAAGTAACAGGCGATCACGATGGTGGCCGGTACCGTGTAGAGCACGCTGAACACCCCGATGCGCACCATCAGCTTCTCCAGCTTCTCCGTCTTGGTGCCGTCGTGCTTCATGATGGTGCGGATCCGGAACAGGGACACGAAGCCCGCCAGGAGGAAGGAGGTACCGATGAACAGGTAGACGAACAGCGGAGCCAGGACGAAGCCGCGGAGGGCGTCCACGTTGAAGATCCCCACGAAACACACCCCGGTGAGGACGTCTCCGTCCACCCGGCCCATGGCGAGGATGGTGATGGTTTTGATGGCCGGGACGGCCCACGCGGCCAGGTGGAAGTACTGGGAGTTGGCTTCGATCGCCTCATGGCCCCATTTCATCCCGGCAGAGAGGAACCAGGTCAGGGACAAAATCACCCACCAGATGGAGCTGGCCATCCCAAAAAAGTACAGCACCATGAAGAGGATGGTGCAGCCCTCCTTTTTAGTCCCCTGGGCCACCGTTCTGTAGCCGTCATCCTTGAATTTATCCACACAAACAACTTTGTCCTCCAGGAAGAACCCAGCAGCGTAGGCCACCGCCACCATGAAGTAACACCCGGATAAGAAGATGATGGGCCTCTCGGGGTACCTGAACCGCCTCATGTCTACTAGATAGGTGAGCACGGTGAATAAGGTGCTCACACAGCACAAGATGGACCAGATCCCGACCCACAGGCGGCCGAATTTGACCTCATCCTCCCGGAAATACATAATACCGGTCGGTTTAGTGGGCTCACATGGGGCCCCGCAGTCGTTGACCCCCATAAACCGGTAGCCCAGGTAGGCAGGCACCTCCAGCTGCAGAGGGCACGAGAACTGGTGGTACTGGTTGTTTTGGGACGGGCGTTGGTTGGGTCGGCCTATGTTTGTGGGGAGGGTAACCGTGTCTGGTGCAAAGGGGGACGAGGAGGACGGGCTGCTGGGCTCGGATGTGTTCTGGCCCACGCAGATCTCACCGGCTCCGTGCACGGGGAAAGCCTCGCAGCGGAGCCGCTCCGGCCACTGGAAGCCGAATTTATTCATGAGGGCTTCACACCCCTGGCGTGCACGCTCGCACAGGGACCGACACGGGGGGATGGCCTGCTCCAGCACCGTGCACACCGGTGCGTACATGGAGCAGAGGAAGAACTTGAGGTCTGCAGAGCACTGCACCTTGACCAGAGGGTAGAACTGGTGCACCTCGAGTCCGGCGTCCTCCTGGTTCGTGTGGCCCAGGAGGTTCGGCATGATGGTCTGGTTGTAGGCGATGTCGGTGCAGAGCGGGATGGAGATGGGCTGGCAAAACCCGTGTTCCGGTACCGATATTCCACTCTCGCTGTTGTAATTTTGAGCAGATGTGGACGAGAAGGACAGCCCGCACATCAGCCACATGATCCGCAGCAACACGGAGCCAGTGGTGGACCTGGCCGCCGCCATAGTTGAGGAGGAGGAGGAGGAGGAGGAGGAGGGGGGAGGGAAGGAAAAACTTTGATCCAAGTAGGGCGACTTTAAAACGGTTAAAAAGCAAAGAAGTCTACATTAAACGTCGCAAAACTTTGCACACGGTCCGAGTACTTCCGAGTTGAAATTGCCTTAATCGTCTTTTCCTCGTGTTCTATGACGATAAATCCAAGTGAAACGTTCGCCGTGTCATGACTTCTTGATGGTCTTTGTAAGTGACTCCAAGCAGCCCACTCTCACTCCCGACCCGGTGAAAAAAGCACTTTAAAGTCCCATTTTCTTCAAGTTATGCCAACCCAAGTTATTCCGGCGCGTCCAGCACGTAACCGCGGTTACTTTAGCGCAAAACGAGACACGTTTTTAACTTAAAAAGGCGTATATTTCCATCGTTTTTCGACTTGACTTCACACAGAGCGTCGGTTCACATGCTGAGCGGTTGGAAGTCCAGAGGCTCGCTCTCCTCACTCCGTGCGGATTCCACCGGTTTCAAGGCACCCCCTTCATTCACAAGACCTTCCAGCAGAACGCAGGGCGCCTTGAAACCAATGCCGCGTCTCAGCCAATCACAGCATTTGTTTTCCTTACGGACTCGTTTTTGATTGGCCTGTACTCCCTATAGAAGGAAATGTGTTACAGTAATTACATTACACCAGAAACTTTACAAAAGAATATATTTTTCTACTGAAGCTTTTTTTTTTTTTAAAACCTACAGTGGATTTTCATTTCTTGCATTTCATTAATGACACAAAATATACAAAACTACGTTTCTTGCATTTATGAAAAAAGGTTTTAGAAAAAGAATGTAAATCCCAAACAGCAATAAGCCTATAACATTACTTTAAAATATGTCAACGGTCAAATTATTCTTGTAATTCTTTCTTTGTTATTTATTTATCTTCCTTACTTTTACAGAATAGTTCATGCTCATTATGGGGGGGGGAGAACAAAGCAAACTGTACTACTTAAGAATGAATGATAATTTTTTGTTTTGATTTTTTTTGCCATTTTTAATGCAGCTGAAAATGTGCAAAACTTTTAAAATCTACTACTGCAGAATAAGATAAGTTTACTGTTACTTTTGTTGAGATGATCTGTTTAAGTTTTAAGCTTTTTGCCCACCAACACTATTTCAGTGTGCAGCTGTGAAGTTGAGCGCTCTCCATCTCTTCACAGAATCTCCACACACACAGTCGCTCACTGTGTGCAGGACATGTAAACACATTGCAGCGCGGTGAGCAAACCATGAAAAAACGAAATGGATTCCAACGTCTTAACCACTCGACCACAGCAAGCACCGCAAGAACCTGTTGCTGTTTACTGCTAACGGGTTTCATTGCAAACAATCAGAAGCAGCTCCTGCATTGATCTCTATCATTGTGGGAATCGACGGTCAAAGCAGCATTAAATTGGATTGACAGCATGATCAATCCGCCCACAGGCGACCAAGTGTGGGAGGTGTAGAAGGGTTCCTGGTGGCCTTGCTGCATTTGGTGTGTTTCTTCCCTGAGTGGGATAAAAGAGGGTGGGGGTAGGGTTGGGTGGGGGAAGGGACAGGAAGAAGAGAGAAGGTCGAAGAGGGCAGGGGGAGAAAGAGAAGCAAGAGAGAGAGCAGGAAGAGAAGCTGAACCAAAAGGAAAAGTCTGAAAAGTTCCCCGCTGTAAACTGGCCTATAAAAAAAAGTTACATTGAAATAGGCCAGTAGGCCAATATGGATTTCTGACCCACCCCAGATTGATATTAATCTAGAAACTAATTCAGGCAAAAGGCTTTGTGCTGCCTCTGACACGGTTAGCCACAAAACAACTAGAAAGGCTAGAAAAGTGGGTTGGACTTTCTAAGATGGTCCTATGGGACAGGGACTACTTTCTCTCATTCAGCAATACATTCACATGAATATCCTCTTCACAAGTACAAAGTACAAATGAGAGACTAAAGTTAGGAGCTTTAATGCTCCGTAAAGCTAAAAATATTGATCATGGTCATAGCTGCTTTTATCTAACTTTAAAACTAGATTAAACAATTGTATGTACTCCACTGCCTTTAGAGGAATTGTAATCACCATTATCCACCTTGCACTTATAGGAATTTCCTTCTTTTATTTATATTCTTTTTTTATCTTACCATATAAAACATGTTTATATTCTTATACTAAATTATTTTAAAGAGAATTATTTTACTGAATTCAATGAAACTGCCTTCCCCAGCTTTAAGTGGCAAGTTTAAAAAAACGCAGACAGATACAGGCTTGTTTTTCCTGAGTGGCTTTGTAGATGAAATGAGTGTAAAACCCTTATTGGCAGCTGTGTCTTTTTCATCTACCCAAGCTGTGTTTCTAACATTCACACTGACCCCCAATCTCATCCCAACAGGCAACACCCTGATTACTGAAAAGCAGACTGTATTGATGAGCAAAAGCGGAGGAGGTTGGACCACCGGAAACATTTTCAATGTGCTGTCTGGTTGTGAACAGTTTGTTCACTTTCCAGACTGTAAGCTTTTCCGGGATGCTTTTTAGAGACACACAGCTGCAGTGGGCATCAGATCTTTGACCTCCGTGGCAAACTATGCCAAGAAAAGGCACTATGATTACATGCATATGAGCTAAATGACAAACAGACTATAGCTGGGAGCTTGAGATAGCTTAATTATCAATCTGAGGGATGGGATAGGCGGCTATGTAATAATTAAAGACTCCAGCTATTAAAGCTATTGATTAAGAATGTTGTTAGTACACTGATTTCCCAAGAGGGTATTGGATAAATCACCATCTGAATGTCACAGCCAGTGATGTTAGACACTAAGGAAGCGGCTAAGATGGCTGGTCGGGTGGATGGATAGTTTTTGAGGGATTGCCATGGCTCCAATGAATGAGCAGCCCAGTAAACCAATAAAGTATTACAAAATAATCAGCTTGATGTCATTCATAACATTGCTTGATACATGTATTTATGTGTTTTGCTACTATTTTGCTATTGTGGGACGTGATTAGTAGCCTACCTAACCACACCTTTCCTCTGTTGTTCAGTAATGTGTGCACGTGTAGGTAGAGCCATGACGAATCAGGTCAATACACACACAATATGAGACTCCTTTCTCGATGAACTTAAGGGCAATAAGAACATGCATACTATACTTAGAATGGCTGGTATGGTTAATGTCATCATCCTAAAATTAACACGGATGTTTCCCAAAATCTTTCTATGTATCACAATATAGCAAATGTGTGCATATGCCATGTACAATATGATAGTATTTATGCTATAGCTACAATCGTGAAAAATGGCAAAAAGTTTAACTGTTGGTTGATTGGTTGATTGATGATATAATAATAATATTAATGAATTTCACAAGGATACCCACACATGCACAGACATGTAAGCACATGCAATTTATTCAAATGAACATTAATAATGGAGGCAAGGTGATGGTGTTTTAAACGGGAAAATACTTTGATCTCTCTGACTCACACACTGGTGTTTCTCCCTGTGGTGTAAAACACAGCAGTTAGTAGCCACGCCAGGTCAAATGGACGCACTCCATCGTGTTTAACTGTAGCCGTTTGTTTGTGTGTGTGTATTTATGTGGATAGTGTCTGCAGTGGTCAAGCAGATGTGGGAAGTCCAGCAGGTTTCCAGACAGTCGGTCACTGTTTGGACTGCGGTCTGCTGCAGCTGGACATCTGCTGGAGAGAAGGGAAAAAAACGTGTTACAAAAACAACAACTAGATTTACAGTAGACCAAGGTGAAATAAACAAAACAAAAAAGATGGTTTGGACCGTTGCTTGCTCAGTTCAATGATAGCCAGAGGCATGACCGCCATGCAAAGTATGTGAGCTACCGTGTGAAACCCAATACTGAGCAACTATTTAGATGTGGAGTCGAGGTGGAAAAACACAAGCCTTTTTGTTAGGTCTGAGGAGGATTTCAAATTTGAGGACGGCTTACAGGACATGTTGGTCTAACCAGTGTTAAGTGCTTTTGAGGAGTGAGCTAAAAACAACATTGCACCACACCAGTCCAATTTATGAGTTCATTCATATGTGTGTGGGATTTCTATGTTAGTTATATGAATTTGTAATCTTTTTGTAGTTGGTTTAGAAAATTTAGAAACTACATTCTGGATTTGATTCGCAGTTTTTTTTGTGGTTTCTTGTAAACCCCTAAAGCCTGGGCATCTATTCATCCATTGATTTATATGAAAAGCCTCTGGGGGTGGTGCAGATACTTCACCGAAAAGTCAACAAACAGGATTTCTTTTAGGCCTACTGCCCTCTAACCAGTGTGCATTATACAGTTATTCTTTAACTATTTACCGTTTTATTTTAATTGTCTGTGGCATACTGTCCCACCAAATACAAGGGTGTGATGTTGGACATGCTTACTTTGACTTTTTCTTCTTTAAGTCTGGTTATGTGAATATTATTATATCAATAGTGGTGTAATATTATATAGTGTTTTGGTTCACTCCCACCACTCTCATAGTGTTGGTTTAAGCCCGAAGCCTGCAACTATTTAGCGCTATAAAGCTCTGATAAAGACGCGGTATGCTACTTGTCCTGCACCAAACAGCAGACAGACAAAGTTAGCGACTAGCTGGTGAACTTAGTAGATCATTTAGCTGCTAAAGTACAAGATATTTGTCATTACTGATGACGAGCAAAACAGTGCTAAAAGGATAATTAATTAATTGGGTTTGCATTTCACCTGTGGAAACAAACACAACTCCAAATGCATGCTACTTTTGCTCCAAATCTGCTTGATCTATAAATAGGAAATTGCTTGCCAACAAGTTTGTCATATCAACTTAAAAGGTGACGACATAAACTACAGCAGGTTTAATAAAAAAATGAATGTACAATCACTCCCCAACCAAAAACACAAGGGTAACAGAAAGAAGATGAGGTGAGACTATAGCCACAGAGCAGGTAGTCATGGCCACAACAATGGAGGAAAGCAGAAATAGACCAGACAACTGACGCCAACGTAATGAAACATAGTGGGTAAAGGAGTCTGATTGGCCGAGGATGATTTTGTTGTGTCAAACTGTTTCTTCAAACTCCGGATAGATGGCAACACATCTTGAATTATATAGCTTTAAAGCATGCTGTAAAAGGTGCAACGTACAAAAAAAATACAGTTTCTACTCTATTATAATTACTATACGTTTCTTCATTAAGCTGTCTCCTGCCTGGTTTCCTCATGTGTTTCTGAGTTATGGGCTGGTATATATAGCATTATAGAAGTATGTGTGGGACACTCGTCTGAATGGGGGGAGGGGAGATCGACCTTAAGAAGTCAGCAGAGAGAGAGAGAGGAATGCAGGCAGCTGGTTTGTGTCTGTCAGTGCAACACAGAGAGCCTACAGTGCTGGACTACTCACACACACACACACACTGATGAAAGAACGATTTATTTGGACCAACAGAGTGCGTGTTCGGTCCAGAGGCAGGCAGCAGGAAGCTCACTGGCTGACATCTCAAC